TGTTCAGACGACAAAAGTTATATTAACTGATTAAGAGTAAATATTTATATGGATCGGAAGATATTTTTTCGTCTTGTCACGGCCGTGGAACAAAGAAAAAAAATTCTGAGTCCCCATCAGGAATCGAACCTCAGACCTTCGGATATTTTATCTTGTCTTAGAAAGTTACACATTTTGAATCAATTTAACCAGACTACCTAAACATACAATGCAAGCGGCAATCTTAGAATCATCGGTAACGAATTGCAACCAAGAGTAAAGTGTTAGCAAACCATAAGTGCTACTTTAGTCGGTATGCAAATCGGCGGCGTCTATTCCGTGCATCCCATATGTTCAGGTAACAAATACACTTAAGTGGCACTTCATCATTCCTGCAACATTTCAATTTTTTCCTGAGTCAATCATTCGTTATCTGTAATGTTTATTTTTCATTTATCCTCTGATAAATATAAATCGCTTTTAATTGCGAAGCTGAAAAAAATGCACACAGACAATAGCAGTTTTTTTTAAAATTGCCTTTTAATAAAAGCCGTCCACGTTTTAATTGATCAATACTTATGGTTTAATCGTAGTTTCTGACAGCTGGGGTTTTTCGTACGTCGATGTCAGTTCTCTTGCAGCGTCATTTACTCTTTTAATTACAATTCCACAGTTTATCGATAATCGCCGATCTGTTTCTCAGTACTAAAATCAAAGTGACGGGAGAAGAAAGTTCTTTATTTTTGATTATTGCAAAAAAGAAAAAAAAAAAATCTTGATGCTTCTTAAACACCATCAGCAGATATTTTCGTTTTAAGGAATGTTTCTCTTGTGACACCATACATATATAAGAGTAGCAAATATACCTAAGAGTGCTTCAGAACATGTAACCGTAAAGTCGTTGCCGCGATCTCATTTTTCCCGCCGCCTATCACTCTTTACTTTTACTATGTTAAAAGTTTATCTTTCATAAGCTATCTGCAGATATTTCAGTTTGAAGAGTGTCTCCCATGCAAAACAAAAACAAAATAAAATAAAACGAAATAAAAAAAAAGCTCTTTCACCGGAAAGAGTATCCAATGAATGAGCAATTTTAGAGTTAATTTTATCATACGAGAGATTAATCAGAAAATCAGGAACCACCATGTTCAAGAATACTTTTGTTTCCGTTTTGCAATGTTAGACCCGCCTATCTCTTTAGCTTGAACTTTTGATCAATATCCAATATTCCGAGACTACCTCGCGCCGCCAAGAGAAATATACTGAAAACGGAAATGCTCTGCGAGATTGTTTTAAATTTTAAATCAACAGATCTCCATTCTTCAGATTTTGGTTCCAAATTTCAAACTAGTTAACAAAGTGTAGAAAAAAAGAAATAAACTTCAAATTGTCAAAGTAAGTTTTATTATGGATGTTTGTTGTGATACAACTTAATTGTTTGTAATATTTAACCAACTCCGGGTCTCTCGCAAGAAAAAGCTTGTTTTTGAGCATTTTAAGCATAATATCAGTACCAAAAATTTAAATCTTTAAATTACCATTCTTGAGATAAGATTCATAAAGTTATTTCTAATCGCATCATCTTCTCCGTTCTAGATATTGTCATCGGTTTGTTCTCTCATGGTACCAAAATAATACAATTAAAAATAGTTACCCCTAATTTAATTGGGTCGGAAATCGCTGACCGAAACGATATATATCAATGCATCTTTCTGTAAAGCATTTGCAACCATTTTCGTCTGAGGTCGAGTTTCCTGCTTTTGGAGGACCTTGCTGGATAATTTCACTTCAAAGGTACCAGTAACATTTTCTTTTTATGCTGATTTATGTCTCTCAGTTGTGCCTCATGTTTTATGGAAGTGTTAGCTTGCAGTATGTGGTAGAAGAGATTTCAACGTAACGCAGTTAAGTCAGTGAAATTGTCGGCTCTCCTGCGAAGCATGTTTTCAAAGATAGGTGATGTGAATGGCAAGAAGCAAGTTACGGTAGAATAAACTAATTTGCCCTTGTTTAGCTTATTCATGATTTGACACAATTATTGCATTATTTTTGGGAAAAACAGAGAAAGCTTTCTTTATAAGCAACAAAACTAAATGGTATATCCTTTCAATATTTTTTTCTACATTTTTACTTCAAGATGATTACAAACATTCAGTAACATTACGAAACCTCGCTTTTAAAGATTATTTTTTTTAAAAAATACAGTGCGCTAAAAAACAGGTTGCTGAACTTGGATTAGAGTCTTGAATCGACTTGAGAAAAATATGGATACAAACTCTTAACAAATAACTTAGAACTGCTTTGTTTCGATAATCAAACGTTTCAAGCCTGACTCTTTAACGCGCGCTACATCCGTTGCCAAATTTTATGTCTATTATTAATTTAGAACAACACGACAGGGAGAGCATACTGATGTGGTCAGTAGTATCTACAGCATAGCAAAATCTATATTGTTATGGTGTCTAACAAACATTCCGCAAATATTCCCAGTTTTTTTTCCTCAGCTGGGTGCACCATAAACATTGTGGATCGGTCCGATAGTCGAGCTGTTTTTCAGTGCCGAAGGAAATATTGGATTATGTAAGTCATTGGCCTTCCGTTCTAATTATCACTGAAATTTACAATATAATTGTGTGGCGCCATCGAAGATTTTTTATCAACAGCTTTAAAAGGTGGTTCCAAATTCGAACACCTTCCCTCAAATTTTTGAAGTTCACAGAAAGTTGATTATTCATTTTCCTTTTCCCTGGGGCTCATCCACCGAATTTACAAGTGTAGCGCAAATATAGGTCTAAAAATTAGGGCTCTGTAAACCTTTTCTACCGTTGTCCGTTCAACCTGTTTTCAAAGAGGTTATCAGACAGCTAATATTGAAAATTTGAACGGGCTGGTTTGTTTGAAGACCTAGAAAGAACTTATCACGGGCTTTTATTTGTATCTTAGACCATATCACTCTAAAGATCTCATTAATAATTCTCCTCACTGACTGTCACATTATTATTATGATCTAAGTTCAAAGAATTCGGTGTTGCATCAACTAATAACCCAGTCGATATTTTTTTTGTTCTCATCACTTTTCTGCTTGATATGGTATAAATATTGCAAGGATAACTTCTGTCTTAATCACCTATGGGAGTTTCAGGGTTAAGAAGAGTACAAAAACACCGTAGGGAGAGATATGAAAAGATTAGCGATGGAATTGTTGTAAAAGCCATATTGTGGCCAAGGCAAGAGGTTATAATCTCTTGAGCCAGGTTAATACTGAAGCCTTTTGCCACAGTTGGTTTATACCAGACCTGTACATGTATTTGGCACTGGGGTTGCATGATTTCAAGAAACAGAAGAACCATGATTTTCGTAGAACGTAAAGATTCGTAGGTGAACACTACTGAAGGTAAAAAACTTCGTGGCCATTTGAAAACTTGAGAACTCAGATCTTTCACGGAAAAGTGGGAGTTCAAAATCACGACAAAAGTTTATTTATTGGTGGCGGAGTATCGATTGACAAAGAAGTGTATTTGCATTCATTATGAAAATAAACTGTAAAAAAAGCTTAAACAGCCAAAAGAGGCCGAACTGTCACAAACACATAAAACAACTTTCTGATGCAAGAGAACTCACCCAAGGTATATGATGACTATATTTGAAAGAACGTAGTTCTTGTCACGCGATTTCGATCGAAAATGTCTTAATATCTAAATGCAACTTGAGTGACCGGAGTTCTCTTGAAGAAACAGCACTTCATTCTAATGAAATTCAAACAAGCTGCTCTTGCGAGACTAATGACTTTTAATGACAAAACTTCTGCTGAGCCAGTAAGTTTGAAAATCGCGAATATTTCGCCCTTAGTATAGAATATTTCGTGTAGTTTAAAAAAAATGAGCTATATACAATGCAAATATTTGTTAAAAAGTAAAAACTATTTATGAATCAAGGGGGTAAGTTTCTAAAGAAACTATGGTGCTGCGTCGGTGGGAGAGCATAACAGGTTAATTTGCTGATTATCAACTGAGTTGATGACGTAAATTGGCCACGGCAAAGAGTTTAAAAACTGATGTTTCGAGCGTTAGCCCTTCGTCAGAGCGAAGGCGTCAGCTATTAAATTTTTTACGGTGGCATGGCCAATTTCACCATAAACTATGTTGATGATACCAAATTACCCTGTTTTCGACGCTAGGTCATAATCAGCCTCTTAAGGTAATTATCATCATCGTGATGATTGCCTACTGTTAAAGACATTTGGTTTTTACTATATTTGAATGTATTTTCGCCCATCAATATATATTTCGTTGGCGGTTTTTTTTGTAGTCAAATACCGGCATTATGCGTAGAGTTTACAGTAAAAGCAAAGTTACTTTGTAGTTTAGATTTTCCGATTCAAAGTAGGCAAACAGTGCAATAATCTGAAGTGCGGTTAGATCGCTTAATTAGCATCTTAAAAGAAGCGTTTACGTAAAGGAAATGGTAGATAAAGTCGAATTGAACAAGCTTGATCAAGAATATACATTTTTCTAAATTCCTGAGCGATATTTAAGATGATGATTTGTTTCTTAGAATTCAAGAAGGAAAGAGACATCTTGAAGCCCCGACCAAAAATTAATAATCCTACATATTTCAGCGATTTTATGATTTCCGCGCTGTACAAATAATTGGTATGGTAAATTGTAATGATAGAAAAGGTGACATACTTGCTTTAGGCAAAGTTATTGCATACATACAACTTATGCTCTGTATCGCGTTTCGCCCCCTCTCAACTGAACTGAGTTAATTGAAATTCAAGGTTTTTTCTTCCTTAGACGATATCAGTTGGAAAAACCAAGATGTACAAAACTGGAAAAGAAACAGTTTAAAACATTTTTACTGTAAGAAAATGCCTGTTTACATTCCTAGGGTAATCTTCACTATGCGGCAGATCCTTTACGTCGGTTGCTTTTGTTTCCAACCATCACTGACGAAACTTACAAAGTCATTTGTTAGCTATTACGTAACACCTTTTTAGAAAAGCTAATTTGAACAAGTCCGTTAGCAACATTGAGTGCGGTTAGATGTGTTTTCTTAGCTAAACAAACACAGATTTGGATATATTAAGAACATTACTTCGTGTTCTCGCAAAGAGCGCGCTTATCTCTTGCTAAAGCAAACGGTTTATTGAAGCGTACTGAAAGACAAGTTTTGCAGGTAAGAGACGTCGAGTGTTGTTTTTCGCAATAATTACAGGTGCATTTTACAGATGGAGCGGAATAAATTTAAATGTAGTTCATACATTGTTTCGTGTTGCCGCAGAGCGCATTCAGGCTACGAACTGACACAGACCGTTCGATTGGAATATTAGTTTCCTAGGGAAAAGAGATTTTTGAGTTTCATAACAACTTAAGCCCAGTTAACATACATGTACAGTGCAACAAAAAGTACCAAAGTGGATATGCATGCTCATTGTTCCGTGTTTACACGTTTAGAAATCGCGTGCATTCTAACGATAAGGTGATCGTTAAAGCAAATAGTTAACATGTTTCGTGAGTGAAAAAAATTGTTTGACTGACTGTCAACAATTTTGAGAACAGTTCGTA